AAATATATATATATATATATATATGTATTGTCCAGTTAGCAGATCCGACTCTTCACTGCGACGCCTCCGATTGTGCCATCTCAGCAGCTCCTGGTGAGTTTTTTCACCCCCTTTTCTATATTTAACAACAGTTACAGAAGTAAAACTTAAACAGGAAACTACACTGTGTGTTAAAGCCTAATAGGGCGGCTAATACAGCTAACAGAAAGCTGTTGAAAACAGCTGCATTTTAGTCCCTAAATTAAGATGTCAGGTGTACGACTTCATATGTAAAGTGTATATGTAGCCTTAGCTTGAAGTGAGCGCCATGTGACTGTAGGTGTCAAACAGAAGTTCAACAACAACAACAACAAAACAAATGTTGTTTAAAGGAAACATTTAGCCTTTAACGCTGGTTTGAATCAAGAAAATAACAACAACACTACATGAACACAACTATCGAATCTAAATAGAGCAACATGTTTTATTCCTTTCTACAAACTAATGCACATGCATGTAAAGATACAGCAGATATGAGCTGAACAGGTTGGTGATTGTGCTTAAAGTTTAAACCAGATGTTTCTCGTATAAAAACAAATTAACAAAACATTTTGTTTCTGTTCTGGGAATTATGCTAACCGTACTGTGATAGGAAATGTGAGCAGAGCTATGGCTTTTCTCGTTTCTCATCCTGTGACGGAGTTTTCTCCACAACAAGTGGATCCTGGCAGCAGGTCCTTAGAAGGTTTGTGTCTGACTGTCCTACAAACATGCACAGAAGCCTCTGAACCTGTCAGGCTGTCCATTGGGATCTTCGCAGGTGTCCAGCGTTGTCTAGTTGAGGAACGCTTGGAGTTGTGTGAATCTTGGGGTCGGGCCTCCCTATGTTGCTTGGCACAGATAGCACAGTGGTGTGAGGAGTGACAGGAAATGAAAAACAAACAAACAAACAAAAGGTATCTGTCTCGTGTCTTGAGCTGGAACAGGCATGTCAGCAGCTCTAAGCTCCAGTGTGTCATCTGTCATCTGAAGATGATTAATAGTAGCATGGTGCCAAGCAAGCCGAAGAGACCCTTGGAAGCCAAACGTGCTTTGTGAGACAGTCTTGGCCTGCTTTAAATGAATAAACCAGAGGAAGCAAGAGTTTGTCTGATGGTGTGTGTGATAAGGCGGTGGAGTCGAAATGTGTGCCTGTGGAGACAACATGTCAGCTGTCTGTCATTTACATGGGACCTTTGAGGGTGGCAGTGGAGTTTGTGGATTTTAATTTTGTTGACGTGTGGCCTCAATCGATATCGCTCGATCCTGAGAAACTGGCAGATACACTTCAAATGATGTGCTGTGTCCAGGTGTGCTAATTTGATGACAGCCATGCATTATTGCTTCATTATTTATTTATCTGCATAACAACATTTTAATTTAATGTATCAAAAACAATTATTTGCGAGCTATGAACTGAAGTCGGCACCGGTGCTGCTGAACAACTAGCGAAAGACAACTGGGATGAGAAATAAAAAACAAACAGAACTGGAAAGGTTTCAGTTGGGCCAGGGATGTCAACAGCTCTAAGCTCCAGTGCGTCATCTGTCATCCTAAGTTGGCTATTGCTAGCATGGTGCCAAGCAAGCTGAAGAGACACTTGGAATCCTAACATCGCTTCTGAGAAAGTCTTGGCCTGCTTTAAATGAATAACCAAAGGCAACATTGTGTCTGATAAGCCGGGGGAGGCAAGCTGACACTTCATGATGCCTCATTTTTGGGGGTAGACGTGTGCTTTAAAATGTGGGCTTGCCCTCTGCTGTGCACTGGGCCACATCCGAGTCCATTAGAGCCTTTTGGGCTCTTTGACGTGCTCCACCTGCTGATGCTGGGCAGTTGTTGTGGAATGTCAGTGTGCTCACCTGCTACAAGAGGCTGTGAGGGGTCACTGCTGCCATTAGGAATGTGCTTATCTGCAGGTGGGGGATAAGACCTGGAGTTTCCCACAACACGGCTTGTAACAGGATGATAATGATATTCACGTCACCTGTTAGTGTTTTTACTGTCGCAGCCATATGTGCGTGTTTAAACATCTCATCGTAAACTCTGAGCATTAATCTGCTGCTGTAACAACACCCACTCTTCTTAAGAGGCTTACTGTAGCGCAGGATTTTGGGACGGTGCCTAAACCAGAAAAACAGGCTCGTAGTAAAAGTGCTGACAGTTTGAACTGCATCAGAACAATTTATCAAACCCTTCCTCTTATTAGCTGTGTTGTTGTTGCTATGACTAACAAATAATTACAGACGTTGTTTTACACATTTGACCGTCGGTGCTTCACATGGCTCGTAAACCTTCATCTGATCTGCTTTAGTCTTGCTTAGATGTGTTTTTTGGGCACTCGAGTAAGTGCAGAGCAGAGTTTGAAGGGTGTCTGTTAACTAGAAAGAGTAGCATTAATCTCCATTTCAAGGAAACTTGCAAATTTATAATACACACACACCTAGGATGGCTCCTGGTTGAGGTGTTTCAGGCATGTCTTCCTGGGAGGAGTCCCTGGGGTAGACTCGCGACACACTGGAGAGATTGTCTCTCAGCTGTCTGGGTAATGCCTCTGCGTTCCCCGGAGAAGCTGAGGAAAGTGGTAGGGAAGAAGGAGGTCTACACTTCTCTGCTTAGGCTGATGCATCATAAACCTGGCTCCGGATAAGATGCACGCCATCCACCATGGCGTGCATCTAATCCAGGGGTGGGCAACTCCAGGCCTCGAGGTCCGGTGTCCTACAGGTTTTAGATCTCACCCTGGGTCAACACACCTGAATGAAATGATGAGTTCATTAGCAGGCCTCTGGAGAACTTCAAGACATGCTGAGGAGGTCATTTAGCCATTCAAATCAACTGCGTTGGATCAAGGATAGATCTAAAGCCTGCAGGACACCGGCCCTCGAGGCCTGGAGTTGCCCACCCCTGATCCAGTGAGTGCTTCGACCCTCGGTGTAGTCATTTGTTCATTTCCAGAGTGCACGTCACCAGCTGGTAGCATCTACTAATATGTCTTCTCAGCCTGGTCGTACTTGACGGTGCGTTTTTTGCATAAAGTGGTCAAACAAGCTTGTTTCTATCATTAGCAGGAACAATTTTCTCCCATATTTCTCAAAGCACTGTGATGCGGTTTGGTCTGCATTCTCCACAAACAGGCTTATTAAGAGTTAACAAGAGTTATTTTTATAACTGAATTATCTAACTCTTGTTTCCCAATAATCTCCCCAGTAATCTC